ACGCCTGAAACGGCAAAAATTCCTGAATCATCTTGACTTTTTACTTAAATGTAAATGTAAAAAATTGATCCCTAATTTTATTCAAATCAAATGTAATCAAAAACCTTCGAGTCCGCGTTTCAAGAATTCTGTTAAATTGCAAGCTTGCCTTACTTCGGTCCGTGATAAGGGATACACGTCAACAATTGTCCAAAATTGAACATGAACTCTATAAGCTTCATCTGGAACTCGCTAAATCATATCCAAAATTCACTGCCCTTGAACAAAAGTCTTGGTCTAGAACGGAGAATGCAGTTAACCTTCATAAAAACACCCTTGCAGTTAAATTCGAAAAACTTCTTTTGCGGTCTTCCATTTCAAGTAGTTCAAAAAATCTTCCCATTGTAAACATCAAGCCAATAGTTAATATTTCTAATGTTAGTCTTTCAGAAGAACAAGAGAGAATTCTAAAATATAATTTTAACTTCTCACAAACCTGTAAACCCTCGATTCCAAAGATTTTGGCTCCTATCGAAAAAGCTTTCAAGTTCAGTAAAGTTTCAGATTCACAGAAAGAAATGATTAGGCATCTTATCGCTCATAATGTGAAATTCAATAATAAACCTTTGAAACCAAATCAACTGCGAGAGAAAGAGCTACAATGCGCGAAATTCATTCTAACCCGGATATTATCCTTTCAAAGGCTGACAAAGGCGGCCAGATAGTCGTCATGGATAAGAACACTTACATCGATGGTGTCACTAAACTCTTAAACGAAGGACCATATAATCCGATCCTAAAGATCCTTCACCTTCGGACTTATCCAAATAAAAACTGCGAATCAAATCTTCGCAAATCATTCAAGCAACTTAAAACATTCGCTTATCCCATCTGTTGCGAATTGTGCCAGATTATATGCTCTTCCCAAAATTCATAAAAGTGGTATCTTTCCGCCCTATTGTATCAAATTTAGGTACTGCCTCGTATCCTTTAGCTGATATTTAGTTTCTAGATTTTCCACTCTCTAGACAATAACATTTACACCATAAAAAATTCAATAGAGTTTGTAAAAAGGTAAAAACATTTCTCCTAGTATTTACTCATGGTTTCTTTTGATGTAAATCATTATTCACCAATGTCCCAGTGGAGGGTGCATTAAGATGTCTAGAAACCAGACTTCGCGAATTTCATTTCTCTTGCATCGAAATTGATGAGCTAATTTTCTCCTCACTCTGTTTGAAACAAACACATTTTGTTTCCAAAATAAATATTACAAGCAAACTGAGGGATTAGCCATGGGAAGCCCCCTCAGTCCCATCCGGCTGATATCTACATGCATTATTAGAATCAAAATTGTTTGAAACTTTAAACTTCCCGGCATGGTTCCGCTATGTAGACGATACTTTTACCCTGTTTGAAGGTAATAAAGATGATTTAAATAAGTTCTTTCAACAATGAATTCTATTGATCCTGCTATTCAGTTCACTTTTGAACTTGAGACTTGCAATTCTCTTCCGTTTCTCGACATTCTGGTCACACGTAACACATCCAACTTCAGTACTACAGTTTACCGTAACCTTCATCGGTTTGCCTTCCACCACACTTTAAATCATGTCATCCGACTAAACAAAAGTTAGCTTCATTTTATTCCTATGTTTTCCGTGCTCTTCAAGTTTGCTCTCCAAAACTAGCCCTTGATGAAGAACTAATTATTTAAAAGCAATAGCTATTGACAGGGGCTTTTCACCCAACATATTAATCAACGTTTAAAAATTCTCATCTCAACACCTAAAAGCCACACTCTTATTTTTTAGGAGATTATAAAAATTCGTTGTCATTCCCTCTTTCCATCAATTAGCTATAAAGTTGCACATATTTTGCAGAAGTTTAACTTTCGGGTTGTTTATTCTCCCATCAATAAATTCCAACTTCTATACTCAAGGACCCATTCCGGATATGAATTCCTGGGTATTTATAGGATTCCTTGCCAGTGTGGTTTAATTTAATTGGCCAACTAGGAGAGCCTAAAATTTCGCGTCAAAGAACATGAGGCATATGTTAGAAAAAAGGAAACACAGAAGTCTTCTGTGCTCAACATTGTTGTCCGAAAAAAACACACTTTCAATTTTCTGCTGCCAAAATTATTCAAAAAACATCTTCATTGGAGAACTGATTTTCTAGAGGCATTTCACATTCATAAAAATCTTTCTGTTCTAGTAACGATCCTAATTCCAATCCAAATTTGCCTTCGGCTTTTAGAGAAATTATGTTTTAGTTCTGGTTTCGCCAACAGATGGCGCCACTTGCTTATTCTTGTCCAGGCTTTCTTATCTTATCTAATCATTATTTCCTATCTTGTTCATTTGCGGTTTTGCAGCTGAAGATGATGGTTCGGTAAAACCATCGAAACTAGTCCTGTGAAAATTTTGTAGGTATAACGCTGATTTTTGTTGTTTGACTTCTGAATTAGTATTTATTCGGCGTGTTATTGTGTCTTAATAACATAACATAATAACATTCTTCTAAATTTCAAAATAGCATTTTCTAAATTGTGAAAATTTTACTTTCTTTTCTCATATTTTATAAAAGTCTTCGTTCAAATGCTTTAATGCCTTTATATTTCTTAATATTGTTAATATTGAAATGGTTCAAATTAAAAATTTAATTCTCAATAAAAATGTTTTATTACATAGGTTTCGTCATGAAAGTTAAACAATGTTAATAAATGTCACAGTTTTATAGATTTCTGTGCATTGATTACTTTTATATTGCTTGAAATATTTCATAAGGATGCTTCCTCAGCCATCTCTTTAGTATTTTATGTAAAAACAAATTATTGTCATTTATCATTTTGTACAGTATCTTACTCTTTTAGTTTTCTCTTTACTAAAGTAGTTTCAATTTTTATAGAGGAAATAAAAAGAAGGTATGATATTTCGTTACTTGATATTACAGTATTCCAAATTTAATTACACTACAAAATTAATAAATTCGTGTGATTACTCATATTATAAAACAAACTCATATGATTCCATTTATTTTTTCAGCCAGATTAAAAAATGGTATTAAAAAGCAAGTTTTCTTTTAATAATGAATATTTTTCGAGAAAATAAACATTTATATGTTAAAGAAAAGTATACGAAATTTTCAATATTTTCAAGTTGTTAAGATCATATATCTAGTGTCTAAGATTTCCTTTTACTTTTGTGATCAAGTTCTTGTTATGATTTTAAATCTTAATACAAATTCCTTTTAACATTTCTGAGTCAGACTTCACCTAATTTTTCGTTTGGTTCTTGAAGATACTAATTTAAAATCATAAGGAAATTTATGTGAACAAGAAAATTTACATCAAGCAAATTTATTTTTATTTTTATTTATTTATTTATTTATTTTTGAAAATTAAAATACACAGAAACAAATAATGACAATACCATATACTGAAAAAATAATATATTTTCTTCATGATAGAAGACTCCAGTGGATTATTTTCTTGCTGTCTCGTTTCGAAAGTTTAGATTTCTCATAATCAGCAACTCAAACTCATTGCAACAAATAATTTTACAATTTCTATGTTACGTTAAAATTTATTAAGTATCCGAATTATCTTCATCGTCATTCTATTTATGTTGTTCCGATGCATGAGGCTTTATTTTTATGTTAGCAATTCTTGAATGACTAGTATCTGTCTACGTTATGCAGTCGTAAAGATTCCGCTCTCACAGCTAATTTACAACTTTTCCTAAATTTTCGTCGCACAAGTCCCCTAATTTCAGTACAGTGTCTTTGAAGTTAGTATTTTTAGCCCAATAGGCGTTAGCTCAGAAAGGCTATTAATTTCGTTTTGGCACTTCGCGTTGGTTCACTATAAATGTCGATTCACTTTTCAAATTGTTGCCACCAAATATTAGATCTTTATGTTACACTTAAAGAAATTAAATGATGAAGAATCTGCCAAAATCTATGTATGTTTCTCGCATTATGATAAAACAACGATACCTAGAGCCATCAAATTTAAATAATGTAATCTTCCACTGAATATAGGTATCTGGAAGCCCGAATTTGGAAATTGAAATTTGTTGCATTATCGATTTCATATTTTATAACACTTTAACGAATTTTTTATTAACAAACTCAACGATTTCAAAGCTAGCAATGGCAATACTGTACGAAAAAAAAAACATTTTTATCTCCGGCCCGTGAGACTTAAAATTTCCCCTCAAGAATTTATTATCGGAAATTCTAAAGATATGCTCATGCAATATTGCTGTTGAATTGAATTTTATGGTTTAAATGCGAAGAACGTGATATTTAATAGATAAAGGTAACACACAAAATCATATTAAGCAAACGTTAAAAAAACGCCCTCTGGGCGTAATGTAAAATCTGAAAGCTTTCAGTTTTTTTTTTTAATCTTTTAAAAAAAATTTTTGTATTTATTATTATTAAATATTTACTTGTAGTAACATACCAAATAATATAATCAGTTAGACTTCCAAATGGCATAACTATTATGCAAATTACACATATAAAACAAATAATAATATAATTATACATTTAAGTAATTTTCTAGTACTTTGCTCTTTATTACTTCTATATTTTAGCTTCAGAGATTTTTTATTTAGCAAACCCGTTCTAACTTACATCTATGGCTTCAAATGTCATTCATTTTCTGTGGAAGTGATGATCAACTCCGATGTTTATTTGCATTTTTTAAAGTACTGGGCAATTTTAGAGATGGGAGGCAGTGGTCATTAGCCGATTCTCTGTATTACTTTTTGAAGAACTAGTTTCTGAATGGAAATTGAGTTCAGACTATCCTTACATGACCATATGCTCTTGCTATCTCATTAATATTAAACGATATTAATTTTAAGTTTGCCAAATGTTCTTGTAGTTTCTAAGTATTTAAGAAAATCAAAAATATTCAACTTCTCTTAAAACAGCAGTGCTAAAATTGACATGAATATGAATGTCTTTTAATTATGCAGAAGATCCTGTTTACATTTATTGTTTTTTAGGCCCGTAATGATTACTTGGTGAACAGACCTCCTGCAGTGGGTCCTGACGGGGAAGAACTCACGGTACTTGGCCTTAAATTCACAGTGAGGCAAAGACATTTCCAGAAGCAAGAAATGCGTCTGCGATGCACCGCAACTCTTTCAGAAGTGAAGAGAATGACTAGTGAGCCGTTAGAAGCGGTACTCTCAGAGCAACAGAAATCTGATTTACATGTGGACCTCAATACGAGCTCAGGTGTGTATGTAAGTTCGATATTAGACAAAATTTAGGAACATTTTTCAAGAATTTTGAAATTAAAAATCCTAATTCAACAAAATGCATCGGAACACTTTAATAAGAAACAAAGATCTAGATGTCTCAATTATTTTTTCCAGCTCGTTTAAAAGTTAGAGAGGAGAGAAGACAGTCACTTTTTTCGTTACTTCAATCGGAACGCCACTTTAAAAAATAATGTTTTTTGTAAGAAATGTCCTAGAAGCTGAAGAACAAACTCTAGTGAATTGTTTCGACGATAACACACTGAAATAGGACCAAAAAATTTAGTTTTAAGAATTCATTTACTTGATGATGTATAAAAGCTAAAATTGCTAATTCCCTCAGTGTGATGATAGCGTAGTGGTAAAGCTGAGAGTAACTAAATTTGACTTTTGGGGTCGTGAATTCTAATGTCATCCTCTTTTACACCTTGTTTGGAACTTTCTTAACTCCGTGTTCCAAATTGATCAATATTTGTCTTTTAAAATTATTTCTATTATTATGGGCATTATATATAATGTTTTTTATGCTCTTATTTATTTAAAATTTCCCCTCAAGAATTTATTTTGAGAGTTATAATATAATACTAATTTAAAGTATCATCCCTGCATATATATATAAATATTTTTTTTTCGTTTCACTTTTATGTGAATGTACATACATGTGATGAGACTGGAATGTTTCCAGCTCTAAACTTTCAATACCAGTCAACATGAGATAGTATTAATGCCCTTAATATTTTTAATAAAGGATTTTTTTAAAACGTATTGCTTTAAAATTCAGTCACCTCCAGCTGAAGCACAGGAATTAATTAATTAAATATTTCCATTTTAGTTACCTTACGGACTAATATTTAGTTACTAATATTTTACGGTATTCATAAAATATAACTGAGCATAGTGCATTTTAAAACAAATAAGATTTCTAATAAATTATCCAGCTATGACAATGAAGAAATTGATGCTAAAATTTCTAAAAATATACAATCTCACATAGCAGTCAGCGGTATACAAGCATAGAAAATTTTGTGTAAACATTACGAAACTTTCTTTACAGTTGCTCTGTATTTTTAAAGTACCAGCTATTTTTAAATGTTTTTAACTTTTTTATTTGTTTTGCAGTAACAATACTTTTTAGTTTTAATTATATGTTATTTCGCTAATATTTAAGGCTTCTGGAAACGCAAAGAAATTTTTTAAAATACTCCAGCTTCTATGCAATTTGAGATGTTCATAATATGCATTATAACCGTACTTATCTAAAAATTGCTAGCTTGACTTTCACAGTTCATAAGCAGAACTAAATATTTCCAATAACATCGAATTTAATTATGTTAAGAGTCCGAGTCCCGTAAGTTAAATCAGAGACATCTGGTGGCAATGAATGCAATTAACCACCGAATTTCCGTAAGTGTAATAAATCCAACGCAATAGTGTAAACGGTCGTCCATCTGCGTAATGCATTTCTCCCAATACGCTACTCGTTGGTAACGCACTAATGGAAACAGGGCTTTAGACCTTTTGTATACAGTTTATCGTCGTACAACAATTCGACACACTATTTTTAAGATTTAGTAATGACTGATTGTAGACGTTTTGGTCTTTACCATAATTAGTGAATCTTCACGTTAAAAATATCCATAGCTTAGCCATCCTCCTAATGCTTTTATTTTCCGTGCAGGCCATATTAGAAAATTTTACAAATTATATTATTTTTGTTAATCATTCACAAAGCCTGGTAAACTGCTGGCACATAAAAATGTTGCCATTCGCTATTCCGTAAGATCTTTATTTTTTAATATAAAATAAAATATTATTTAACTGAGCAGTTTAAAATCAATAAACACACTTCTCAATGGTTTATATTTTTATTTCATTTGATTATAATTAATAAATTTCATTTATTATACAATTAATTCAAGGGATTTATGAAACTTTTTCTGGTAATTTACATAAATATTTACATCATTTTACTACATAATAAACGGTTATTCTAAAATTAGCTTATGTTACATACTTCCCTGCGGAATAATCTTTCACGCTCCATCTAACAATAAATTTTATGTTTGAGAAATTAAAATGGCGTTAGTAGAAATATTATTAAAATCTTTATTGTGTATAAGTAGTCTAGGTATGCGATACAAATGTCTTCAGTTGTATCGAAAAGATGAATGATGTTTAAGCAACAAAATGATTAGGTATCCGTCTTGTTCTCCTAAAAAAAGATTTAACGTTACTTTTATATGGCACCAAATTCTAATGAGTGTTATCATTTTTCATTTGAGATGAATGAATTTTTCATTTCCTCATTCGAAGCAATTTTAGGATTGCTCAGTTATTTGAAACGAGATACTGACAGAACATTTTACCTGATAAAGAATTAACTGAGTTCTCCTTAAGAGAAATACACCTTAAGAGTAGTACATTATAGTAGGAATTATTAGAGTTAAGTGGTAACTTTCAGTAGCATTTTAAGCCCTTTCGGTTATATTTGAAGTGCTTTTTTAATCGATATTCGATAATATTTCAAATATTTTAATACTGTCTTTTAATAATATTTTAATTCCTTCTTTAAATTCTGGTTTTCTCTAACTGCAGATATAAAGCGAATAACTTCGAATGTGTATGAACTGAGAAATATACAGTTCATCTTCGAAATCAAATTTTAAAATAAAGCTTATTAACATTTACGTTTAATGGTGTGCAAAATGATAAAAGGGCAGAAATTTATAAAATAGTTATATATTTTCGTCTATATAAATTGTTTGCATTTGTATAGTGCATGTTTTGATTTATGCAACATTTATAACTGTGTGTTAAAAATATTTCTTAAACCATGTTTACTACTAGAAAATTTGTATGGTCCAAATTGATTCTGACACACATTCTATTTCATTTCAGTGTCGAACAAAAGTAGTTTGAAGCCTACAACACTTGATTCCTTATGGAGCATTTTTGTGTTCTTAATACCCAGGGTATTAATTCAGAAATCCCAGCATTAGAAGCACAATATATAGAAGAAATGTGAATCAAATTTTTAAAAATCCCGTTGTCTTTCAAGGAACAGACATTGAAAATAAAACTCATATCTGAAATGAAAACTTCCGCTGCTTCGAAGATCGAAACCCATAGCAGGTGATTCTTCGAAAACTCGCTATTTACCAATGATATTTTGGGTACATGTTAACTTCACGGAAATACTGAATTGCTATCTACTATTTACGGACCAGCTAGTATATATTTGAGAACAGGAAGTGTGCAAGATAAGAACTTCTACATGAAGTGTACAAAAAATATTGCTTTTAAATGCTTAAACTTCTTTCTTAGCTTGAATATTTAAAGTAAGTGAACTTGGGAATACTTACTGTGAAAAGACAAGATATCGAGACTTTAAATGAAGAAAAGAGATACTCTTCTAATGTTTAAGAAATTATATTATATTCCAATTTATGGCGAAAGAGAAATGTACATAAATATTTGTGTCACAAATTTTTTGATTATTGTAGTTAGAAAATTCAGTTGAAATTTTATAATCATTAACCTGAAGTTAACATAAGTATGTAAAAATGAAAAAGTATTTTTTCTTAACTGAAGGCCACTTAGTTGTTTTATTCCTGTTTTTCTATTTTAAATTAATTTCTTTCGAGAAATACCCACAATAAAAATCTTGGACAAAATATGGATTAGAGCAAAAGTATTCAAAGTCTAAAAGAAGTAAAAATATGTGCTGTTTCTATGCCATATTTTTGATTAGAAACAAAAAATCAGAGCAAATATACCTATGTCATCTTCTCTTTAAAGGTATCCATTCACCCATATAAAATGATTTTATAATTTTAGAGAAATTCGGGCAACGCACTCATACACATTCATTAATACATATTCTGATACTATATGTTATAAAGAAAACTAAATCTGATTTATTTTTTCTCAAAATTATTGTAAGCAAAACCACTATTTGCAATCAGTATAGTTTAAAAGAAATGTTTACAGTTATACAAAGAATCTATTAAAAATTTAGTGCTTATCGTTGTAACTTATAGATTTACATTGATAAGCACTAAATTTTTAATAGATTCGTTGTATAACTGTAAATATCTTCAATAGCCCTTTTGTTATCAGGTTATTTTTGTCGGTGGTGATTCTCTTCCTAATATATGATCCTCTTCTAAAGGTTTTAAAGAAGAAATTTTGAACATTTAATTTTTATTATTTTGCTTATGCATTTTAAAATCTATGAAATTAAAATGTTCATTAAAATGTATTAAAATGTATGTTAGAATTCTAAGATTATTTCACCAAAATTCGAAATACTTAGATTAAATAATTTTAATGAAATCGTTTAAAAGATGAAAGTCTAGCCTAGAAAAGGACACATTAACTGAGATATTTTATTCCTTAAATTTTTGTCAAACTAACTACCTATTGCTAAGTTTACATACAAAATAAAACCGTGTAGAAAAAAGAAATACCCTTGCCCTCAATTACTCATTTGCTTTTCTTACCCATTCGTTTTACTGATCAGGCTGAATGTAGTATTTAACCCTTTCTTCGATATTTATTAGGTGCTTATAACAGAATGCGTATGGGTAAGTTGTAATGTGTAAGAAAATTTTCTAAAAATTATTAAGTGGTTTTAAATTCAAGGTTTTAGAAAAATGACAGAAGGTGAAAATCTTAAGATGGAAATCGTCCATTACAACAAAAAATGCTTGTCGTAGGAAAAAAAAAAAAAAAAAAAACTTTAGCCGAAATTTTTAATTTATGTGAACTTTAAAAGAAAGTTTCAAAAATCTGAAGATCTGCTGTAACTACCACCTGTCAAGTCAAGGCCAAGTATTCCATCAGCCTGATCATTTAGCACCAGCAATACTTTTATACTAATTGTTTTCCCTATTAAACTTACACAGAATATGCGACAGTAGGAAGAATTACTTTCACTGACATTCTGACTGCTTTGAAGTTAAACGAACTCAGAGCTAAACATATTTCTAAATTAATGAAGAGAGTGAATGTAGAACAAAATGGCAAATTCTCAGTATTTTCTACGGGGAACTCGCCCTTCTTTTCTGCATTCACTCATCTCATTAATTCATGAATTTATCCAACACACGATTTTAATCCAATGCATGATGACTTTTTTAGATATAATCAGAGGATACCTTCAAAAGTAAGGAATAGAAATATCTAAAATAAAACTCATGATCATTTTCTGGATGCTACATGAAACGCTGATAAGATAAATTTAGACGAATGATATGAATAAAATAAGAGATATGCAAACAAAATTAGAGGTTTTTATAAGAGCTAAAATAATTCTGAAATCTAAATTAGATGTTAGCAAACGAATTGTCAATGGAGCTAATGGGTTTATAATAGAATTTAAATGCTTTTTGTCGAAAAGTAATGTACAATACAGGCTTACTGCCATCTCATGTGGATTTTGATGAAGTTGAGTTACAAATTCTTGAACCCAGATGAAAGTAATATCTTGTTAAATACATTTATGGTGCAATTGAAAGAAGAGTGCTTCCCGAAGTTTAATCTCAGTCTGCTACAGCACAAGATACATGCTGCACAAAAGAGGGACAGCTCCCGTTCGACAGGACTTATTGACTAAATTTAAATTTCATTTTTCATGTCTCGAAAACGAAACTTATGATATATATTTGATTTATATATAGCATTGTTCTAACATAGGTATTTTGACATAAAATTTTTCTGAAATGCCAACCTTTTTCCATATTTCGATTCTATGACTCAATTTATGTCTAAATCTTAAATTTTGTAAAATTTAGTTTGAAACTTCCCGAGAAATTTAAAAATTTATCTTGGCGCACTATCTTCAGTTTGCAACAAGAATAAATGACTTGGCTAACTTTTTAATTTTTAATAACCTATTTTCCTTTCCCTTTCACTCTGGATGAAAGGAAAAAAAGGTGAATCATTCTTTCTTTCAAATAATTTTAATAAAGTGCCTAAATCACAATTGGCGTTATTATCACTTAGAACAAACATGCCAAATTTAAAAACGAGCCAATATTTAAATTCATATATATCTTATGGGTGATGGTAAGAAATTTATAAGTTATAATTCAAAAATGTTTCGAAAAATTTATAAAAATTACTAAAAAATACAAGTTTTAAAATTAAATCAATAAATCTGTGCGTATTTTATTTGGCTTGAACTTAAATTTCGAACTGTGAAAGAAGGAATCAAGAAAGTTAAATAAACAAAGAGGTATTATTAAATATATACCAAATTCAATTAACAATGAGAAGCTAAAATTTTGAGAGCTAATTTTTGAAAACTGCTTATTGATTTTTACGAAACTTGTGGCATAATTTGTGTCATAGAATCGAAATATGGAAAAAACTCATTATGTCATTTAAGAAAAAGTCCGATTTTGTGTCAAAATACCTATGCTAGAATAATATATAAATCTAAAATATCTAATCTTGTCATGTATTAATCTAAATTAGTAAACCTATAGCGCTTTCGAGACATGAAAAGCAAGTTAAATTTCATCAATCGGCCCAGTAAAAAGGGAAATACAAGAACTGTCTTTTTTTTTTTTTTTTTTTTTTTGTATGCATAGTGTACAAGCGAGAGCACTTTAGATTATTTATTAATTTATCGCAGAAGATTGCACATTATTCGCAGAAGATCAAGCATACATTGCTTTAAACAGAATTAAGTCACTGGAAGAACTTAATATTGAGGAGATCGATAGCACAGAGCTGGTTGAAAAATTTCGTGTAGCAATAAACCATTAGCAAATATAAAAAAGTCTAAGCTCAAAAACATGTAATGGTTTATCTTTTATGTACACAAATTTTAATGCAAAGTTAGAAATAATATATTTTAATAAAGTGACTTGAAAAAATAGTCACATAACCGAGACAGTCGGATAAATGAGAAGCATGTGTCTCATAGGTTACTCTTTGTATTAAACCATCATTTACAAAGTTTACCAATTACAGTTTTTATTTTAGAAAGGTAATAAACACAAAGACCATCTGCCTAAGGAGAGCAGTGTTTTCTTTGAAGACTTTCGAAGGGAAAGTCGTTTGTAGTTACGATTGATGGATTTTTATTTTTTCTGTCAAAGTAAATTTCAGTTTGTTGTCAATTTATTTACTACTTGTCCTCTAATGCTTCATTGATTAAAATATAATGCAAAAGAATAATTTTTTATTATTTTGCTCCGATTTACATTAATTATTATTCAACAAAAGTAATTTCTTTACGAATTTAACATAGGAAATCACGTGCTAAATTTTACAAAAAGGGTTTTTTTTTTTTTTTTTTTTTTTTTTTTTTTTTTTTTTTTTTTTTTTTTTTTTTTTTTTAAGTTTAGTTGACAAGTTGTTTGAAATGCATGCGTTTATGAAAGCAAAAGATTTTTAGTTTAGTTAACAAGGATAAGTTTTAGAATTGTCAGAAAGGGCTGTGTTTATGAAGGGGAAAAAATTTCGTTATTTAATTTTATAGGAAAAATACTGTGTTTCGCATTTGACTTTAAAGAAATAAAATTATTTTTAAAATTATGAATTTTGTTGAAATAAATTGCATAAATGAATATATCCGTCACTTGCATCACATTAAAAACCTTTTGGTTTAAAAAAAGGGGAAAAAATATAAATGACTTGAATTGCTTGTGGTCCCAGTTATCCCAAGTAACTGTATAAGGTATTTCTCCTGCCTTCTTAACAATACTTCGTAGTGTAGTGGTCTGCTCCCTGGGTGCGTATTCCAGAGGTCCGTGGTTCGATTCCCGGTGAAGGCGTTGCTCATTTTTCATCTTTCCTGCTTCAAAAAGACCTAATATGTCTACAGTGGCGTTCGAACTGAAAGGAACTAAAAGGGTGGTGGATAATGATTCTCTCCAAACAGGATCCAGGTCCCTAAACCCCCAGTCTCCCTTTAAAAGAGGGCGTATATAAGGTATTTCTCCCGCCTTCTTAGCATGCCTTCGTAGTGTAGTAGTCTGCACACGCTGGGTGCGTATTCTAGAGGTCCGTGGCTCGATTCTCGGCGAGGGCGTTGCTCATTTTTCATCTTTCCTGCTTCAAAAATACTTAATGTCTCTACAACTGGAATTCTACTTTATTTGCGTGTTACTGAACAAAGTAAATTATGGATTTAAAGGAGTAATGCTTTTTCAATCCTTAAATTTATAAAAGACTAATAGGTGATGGGATAAAGATAAGAATTTTATCCTTAATTTCAAACCGCTTATCATTCTTTGCTATAAATTCGAGCTTTTCTAATATTTATTTATTTCTCTTATTAAAATACAATTTAAAAGTTAATTTAACTGCAAATGCAGGTGACCCGAAAGCCCTAATTAATTTAAGTTGCATTAAACTTTGCTCTCGAGAATCGAGAGGGGAAAGTTATTGAAGTATAAAGACAAACGTTTCTCTGGAGATGTAGCTTGTATTTTTAATTGAAGGAAAAGAACTATAAGTTGCATTTCATTAATCAAATGTGTTTCCTGAACCGTGACTCTTACAAATAATTTTCTTTTCTTTAGCAAATGAGAGCTTTTTTTGACTAGAAGAGTTTATGTTAAAGGCCGCTA